CTGGAGGAGGGGGGAGGGGACCATGGGAGGGCACACCAGCCCCAAGGGCAGCAGGGACCATCTGGGCCCAGCATGCAGTCCCCACGTGCCATGCCAGGTCCTGCCACCAAGGGCCTTGCCCCATCAGGCGGCAGAAGGACCACAGGGCCGGCAGAACAACTGAAAGCACAATAAAAGTCTTGAAAGTACATCATTTTTTATGTATGAAAATAACCAACAAATAATGTCAGGAGAGATTCAGGGGGACAAAAATGTATGTACATTTTCTCCCTCACTGGAGATAAGAATCCAATAGCCCTATGACACATCAGAATTCAGGAAATGGAGGGTATTTAAGTTAGCCTACAGCATGCATTTCATTCCTTCTATACGGTACAATTATTTCGAGAAAGGGATAAAACATGGGATTGCTCAAGTATTAGTAATTTTTTTATGGAATGGCATTGCATTAATACACATATTTGGGAAATGTTTATAATGAGCCAGTCACAGGCAGGAGGTCAGTTTGGTCAATTCTGCAGCTAGAGAGATAACAGATGCTTCAGAAATTGGTTAATGAAGTATTTCTGGACAGCAGCATACATTCTTATAGTCAACATTTCATATAGACATACTTAACAAAACAACCATGTTGATAACTTTCAAATAATAAACATTTAATACATTAAGATTCATAATCTTGTATTATCCCGCTGATTAGAAATCATTCTTATTCCAATGGAACAGCACCTTTTACAATACTGCAGCTCCAAAGCAGGTGGAGAGACCAAGAGAGGCATCAATTACTGTTGCCATGGTAACTATGATGATTGCAGGCCAATAAAGAAGTAACTGCCAAAATCAGATTCGAGGGTAGGTTTTTTTTGCAAGACATTTTCAAGCTAAAGACCAGAAAATTTCATGTTGTTGTGATTTTCTACATTATAGTCATTTTTCTTTTGATAATGACATTCTAAATATTTCCTTCCTGATTTAGGCCCCCAATCCTGAAACTAAATTATATAGCAGGGTTCCTCATATCTTTGTACAGCTCCATTAGCCAGCAGACCTGATCAAGAGATCAACTTCAGAGGGCTGTGCATAGGTCAGAGATCTTTTCTAACAGAGCCAATTGGAGACCTAGGGCATGAGATAGAAAGCTTTTCATGACAGATATTTAATTGGCTTTGATACTGCCATCCCGAAGGGTCAAAGAATTTTAAAAATTATGAGTTAGGTCACTGGGAATTGTTAGATTTATTTTTTTTTTAATAACCTTCTGCTGTTTGATTTTTTTTTACTTCATATTTGAAAACATTTTCAAAACAATGAGAGCAAGAAATTGTCTTAAAAATAATAAAGCCAAGATTTTGACATGTTCACTTGACTCCAGGAACTGGACTCACAAAAAAAAAAACAAAGATGTGAGACTACCAAAAATTCTGTTTTTGAAAAGTCACATGCATTATACATAAAAAAAAAAAAATCTCACAATTAGAGCAGACACAAGGAAGTTATCCCCTTCATCCTGTGAAAAGAGCCATCTACCTGAACACCTGTCTTTGCAGATTAGGTATGTAACTGAAATCAGATGCTGGAAACATTTGTGAAACTCTTTTGCCTTGATACATGTTGGACCTAGTGGTTGGCTTTGTTTAAATATTAACTCATGTTATTTACAACAGGATTGAGAGAAGCAGCTTGATCTGAAAGAAACTCCTCATGAAAGCCACCTGTAAAGGACTACTGCCTAAGGAGAGGTTTTCATCAAATAATTAAAACAAAACCCTAGGCAACTTGATATATTTGGTTTCAATTGTGCTTACTCAGCTGTCTCTATGAAAAAAAGAAATCAGGTGAAAAAAGGGCAAACCACATCCACTTTTTTGGAGAATGTAATCTTTTTGTCACTTTGCTCCTGTTTGCATGCTGTTCTTAAGGATAAATCACACTCATGATAGGCACTGGAAAATAACGGCTGCTTAATGAATAGTTTTCTTCAAGGAATTCAAATCAGTCAATACTGTAGATTCTGAATCAGATTCAGCTCATCAGCCAGATCCCACAGCTGATGAATAAATATCTGTTACCATCCATTAGCATTTTTCTTTACTATTAGAACCTTCAAGCTATCCCACAGCAAAGCAAATCCATGTAAACAAGCCCACATGAAGGGCTGCAAATGGGTCACATTTTATAATTATTGTTTGCAATATATCCATCCATTTAGATTTACTGAGACCACTGGATATTACACAGAAAAGTATGATTTGGCAGATATCCAGCCATTGATCCATCCAGCATTCTTCCAACAATGGTTGATATGGGATTGCTCCAAAGTAGAACTATGTCCTTTATGTTAAACCAGGAGATATTTGGAGAACCTTCCCAAAAGAAAAAAAAGACAAAAAATAAAACTGACAAAATATGACCCTCTCTCTACCTCTTCACTTCACCACATAAAGCTGATGCATGGTTGTTGCTGTAGCCTTGGAGGTGTTATAACTTTAATATACCAGGCAAGAAAGATGTTTGAGAAATGGCTTGAGGGAGAGCTTGAAGTTAATTTGAATGAATAATCTAGACACTTGTATGAAACCAGACTAGACCTGCCCACCTTCAGGATTGGTCAACCCATTCTGTGTATATAACGGAGAAGTCACATGAAGAGTTCGGGGTTAGGTGAACTACTGTAGGCTAGTAATAACCCTACACTTGACAGGATATCAATGTAGCAGAAGTTGCAAAGAGAAAACCTCCTTATAAGCCTCCACATATTGTGGCCTTTGGTTTAGCAACAGTCTGGGAACCATGCATGCCTAATGACTGTATAATCCTGGTTCAGCATTGGCCATAACAAGTGTCACAATAAGATACCTGATGTATGCAGTATAGCTGTGTGTTTGTGATTCCAAACCATCATTAACTGTACTGTTTAAATAAAGTTCAACTGAACCCAAACTATTAAAAATTTACTTTGAAGGTGTAGATTTTTTTCCTGAAAATTCTAAGAAATGAAAAAAAATCTGAATGATAAATTATTAAAATTTTTACTCTTATATGAAAAATTGACAAACATATTAACATTTTTGGGCACTGATAGATTGGGGTGGAGGAGAGAAAGCTCTTTAGCAGGAGCAGCAGCACATTAGTTTGATCCAGCTCCACAACATCTGTATAGACCAGGCACTTCAGCTGGGTTTTTTGGCACTTTTATCTAAAGTTGATTGAATGACCTATTAGATAAAAGCACCAAAAAAGCACCACTGAAATGCCCAATCTATACAGATGTTGGAAAAGCTGGGTGCAGCTAAAGCGCTTCCTCTTCTGGGCATGTGCTGGGCCCAGGACAGCAGCACACCAAGTTTAAAGTAAAACCTTGTTTTGTTTTGTTTTCCCTCTCCGCAAACAGCCTTTGTATCCTTGCATTTTAACAGAAGTTTTTTTCTATCACTGAAAATCCGGTATAGTTATATCCATATTATCATTAGGGCATAATAAAACAGAATATAGCAGAATATGCCATGCTCCAGCCTTAACCCCTCACCACCACAATCTCAGCCTGTCTTTGATCCACATCTCACACATTCAAGAGCACTGAAACAGCCCAGTAGTTCTTGCCTTTCAGACTCAGAGCACTCACCCCTCTTGAGACCCAAGGCACCCCTTAGAAAACATCAGCTCTTAGTTTTCACTCATTTTCTATGGAAGAATAATTGAACAAATTTTCTGTTGCAAAGAACTCAGAAACACCACAGCAGGTCAGAATGTTTTTAACACTCCAGATTCCTATTTGAAATCTCTGGGTTTATCTTATAAATCATGTTTACATACCTAAGAGGGCTAATGTTGCATAGCACCCTGCAGAAGACTTGAAAGTGTTTTGCAGCACCCTGGCTGAGAATCCCAGGCCTATACCAACAGACTGAACTAGCATTTCATTGTTTTTGTTTGATAGGCAAGGATTTTTGTGGGAGATATCTTTTATTGAACCAACTGCATGGTTGGGATAAAATTAGATAAGCTTTTAAATGCAAGATTTTCTTCATCGGGTCTTTTGTATTGTGGTTTTATTCCTTATTCAGGAATTTTGCAGCACAAAAGTACCAGAAAGAAACCCTGCCACCAGTTA